ATAATTCACAAAAAACATTTTTAAAAAAAGAAAGAAAAAAATAATAATAATAAGCCAATGAAAACCCTATGGATAACAACAAACTTACCCCATGAGTGTGAGGGGTGTCTCCATGAGTCGAAGCTGACTCAAGGGCAGCTAACAACAACAAAGCCTAAAATTCTACAATTTCGAATACTTTGTATTTGAGAAACTCAGATTTTTAAAAGTCTAATTTGGTGTTCAAAAACCACTAAAAAAATTTTGCCAAGAGGAAGCCTGAACATAAGTCCTGATCTGAGTTATATGCCATCTTCAAGAAAACACCTGGTGGGCTGGGGTTTTGCACTGTACCTATGATCTCGAACTTACAACCTACCCCCCACCTACTTCCAGTGAGTATTCAGCTATCTACTACTTGGCCTGGGCAAACGCTCTCCAGCCAAAAGTTGACTGACAAACAGCTGGGGTCACTTCTCACCTGAATGACTGTTTTCCCTGCCCAGATCACCCTGTAGCAAAAACACCAACTACTGACAGCTACTCGCTATCCTTCTAGAGTACCGAGCATTAGGAGGTACAAGGAGAAAGGGGGAAGGCACTGTTCCTAGCATCAGCTTCCGTGCCCCAAGCCTAATTGACAAAAGAACTTTAATAATAAGAGAATGTACTACCTAACGAGGAATTACTTCCAAGTAAGAGTGTGATGCCACACAGCAAAAAGAATGCAGTTTGCTACCTCATGAGCTAGTGTGAGAACCACATGGAATAAGAGGCTGAGAAAACCCATGAAACACTTTGCAGCTAGAAACAAGGGAACAAACGCTTATTGCATCTTCATTGATTCAAACAACTTAAATTTACCTAAATAGAATTGCTTGGAGAACACAGAATCTTTTTGAATCAAAACGCTTTCTTCCCAGCTCTCAAACATAACTCCCAGAGTTTACTGCAACAGTCACTAAATGAAAAATGCAAGCATTGGCCAAAATAGAATGATGCTCCTAAACAAACATTAATATTCTCTCAACCAAAATTATACAAAGAAAAGAAGAGTAAAAATAGTATTTTCCTCCTAATGAATTCCATTTTCATCTACCCTGAAAGATCTTGAGTAATGAAGGTTGAGAATACTGTACTTCACTTCTCCAGGGAACCTGGCATGGTAATGGGGGTTAGTGCCTGGTAGAATTTCCTACTCTGTGGCTCTAATGTACTTAAACCTTGACATCAGGCTGATTTATCTCACCCAGGGTTACTTACTGTGTCCGAAAATCAAAGTGCATGCTGCTGTCTTTAAAATATGCAATACAGTAGTTGTATGCTGCAAACAGCTGTCCACTAAAAGTCAGTGAAAAAGGGCCTGTCCTGATTCTTTTAGAGCAATAACTGTTTACTATCTAGATAGTGGTAGGATAAATAATAACCAATTAAATGGGCAACTTTTACAGACAACATTACAGAGAAAGCAGCAACTCATAATAGGCTATTCCCATAAATGACTGACTACCCAATATTTTTGCAGATGTTAGGAAAAAAATTATCTCTGACTTCAAGGAACTCCTAGGTCTAGTTAGGAAAACAGACAAGCTCAGTGACTGAATTTTTGCCTTCCATGTGGGAGACAAGGGTTCGACTCCCAGCCAATGCTTTTCATGTGCAGCAATCATTCATGCTGCTATGCCACTGAAAAGGTTTCAGCAGAGTTCCCAGACTAAGGTGGAAGAAAGGTCTGGTTTCCTAAAAGCAGCCAATGAAACTCACAATGATCTGATCCATAACCAAGCACAGGGATGGTACAGAATCTAGTAGCATTTTGTTCTATGGTGCATGGAGTCGCCCATGAGGGGCTAACTTGACAGCAGTTAATAACCATCCTTGACATTGATAAGCACAAGGTTCTATGAGAACACAGCAGTTGACACAGTCATGGAAAGATTCTGAGGTGAATCCTGAAGAGCAAAGGGAAGACTGCCAGAAGATGGAGCATGTAATTTCTGGCAAAGCACTATAATATATAATGGCATACATATAAGCTAGCACATTGCTCTAGGCATCATCGTCATACTCAGAATCTTACAATTTGCTCATTTCTTTACTAATATGCATTCCTTCTTACCCTACATCCAACTACCAAGGTTTGCCAATACTGACTCTTTCAAGTCCCTGGACCACTGCACAGGTTTGGTCCTCAACCACCTATACTTTAAACAGCTCTCTGTTCTCCAAGGCTAAAACTGCTTCCCATTTACAATTATTATAATAAATTAATCATCTCTAAGGAGTTGCCAGGAGTCAGAGTTTACGCAATGGCACCTAACAACATAAGTAACAGACGAGCAAGCCATTCCTTACACAGATTCTCCCTGTTCCACAAAGCAAAGGGGTCTAAGTTCAAACTGTCCAGCCAGAAACTTTAGAGGTTTTCTGCCATTTGGCCTCTCCCAAATCTACCTTCACTGGGGTGGTGGTGAGTTGGTTCCGTCTCATAGCGACCCTTTATAGGACCAAACCTCTTCCCTACAGGTCCCTTAAAAGTGCCCCTTCCTGTTCAGCTCTCTTATTGCTCTACCGACCACATCCCAACTCCAGCACCTCTCTAGGATTCAACCCACTAAGC